CACTTTAGTATATTATCTCTAATATCGGATCTTAGTTAATAAACAAATACTTTAAATCTTTATTTTAGATTTGTAATAAAAGCTTTAACTTAGAGATAAAGCATCTGTTCAATATAAGCATTGAACAGATGAATGAAAAAGGACTATATAAGTCTCACACTCATTCCCAACCTGATCAGCTGGAAGGAATGGTAAAGAATAATCATTTGTGCATGTAGGCATAGGAAAAGGCATTTATATACTTCTTTAGAGAACTGCAGATACTTCACAAACATTATGCTGTTGTAATGTTATTTGTCCTGCAAGGTATTACTATCCTTGTACTGCAGATATAGARCTGACAAGTGGTTTGCCTAGTATCTCCCAAGCAAGATTAATCTCCTTTATACTTTTTATCTTGAGTTTTTTCCATTTACTATGGCAAATGAAATAGAAAGCCCCCCCCCCCCCCCCGCCGCCGCCATCAGCTAGCTTTTCTTCAACTATAGATCAGGGTTACTTTTCTTAACTGAGACTGTACTTATTCTAGTCTGGATCTACACCGCCAAATAATGCAGTTTCATAATGCAGTTGAATTGCATTGAACTGGATTAAATTAATCTATACTGCCATATAGTCTAGTTCAATGCATCTGCATTATATGGCAGTGTAGACACAGCCCAAAATTCTGTAATGGTACAAACTAGTAGCGCGAAAGCAGATTTAGAAGATTGGAGGCAACTTGTGTTCACAGCAGAGGCCACAGTGTACTTCATTTAATAGGAAGCCATAATTTCCTTACAGCAAGTCAAATGCTGGGTTCCCCAACCACGGTCCACCTATATGTCATCCAGGGCCAACACGGTTTTCTTAAAATAACATGCATCTGATTCTTTTCCTAAGGCTTTCAATGCTGTTTTTATATTTAGTTGTTTTTATTCGGTCCTTGGGGAGATGGTGGTGGGGTATAAAAATAAAATTATTATTATTATTATTATTATTATTATTATTATTATTAATAATAATAATAATAATAATTAAGGCAAAGTGCAAGTTCCAGGTCTGTATATCTCTCTTCCTGTTGTGACTCAGCTGAAATCACAGAGTGATGATATCAATGATTCTGATGGGGATGATGAGATTCAGAGTCAGAGTCAGATGCAAAGCAAGGATGTGCCTGTGTTAGACGAGGAAGACCAGGATCAGGGGCAGGAGTTCAGTTGTTTCCCACAGCAAGAGTTGACGATGGCGAAAGTGAAACTACTGAGACTGAATGCCAGGTGCCTGATGAAGGAATTACGGAGGATAGTTCTCAGCCAGCTAATGAGGGATTTGACTTCGATGGGGCTGGTGAGTTAGATAGGGCTGATCGTTTGGAAGTGCGAAGGAGTGTCGGGATCGCTAGGAGGCAAGAGAGAGAGGCCCGTGAGGCCCAAGGCCATAGAAACGCCTTCATGCTGGCCCAAGGATATTAAACAGTCTGGTTGGATGTGCCTCAGTGTCAGAGCAACTTCACGCTTTAACCAAGAGCCTTTGGGCTTTATCTTGTAGCTTTCCATGTTCATGTTTTAGGACTTTGCCTTGTACTTATGGGACTTTGCCTTGCCTGTGCCTTCTTGGATCTTATGTTACCTTGCCTATGATACCTTGGATTGATCTTTTGAAATATTCTTTTGCTTTTTGAACTTTTTATCTTTTATTTTAATAAAACTACAAAGACAACTGCTGGTGTGTTCTTTGATGTCTTAAGCAAGGGGGTTCTACTATGAGGTGCGACACTTCCCATGTTCCAGAAGCACAAGATGGAAAGGGAAGAGCTATTTCCAGAGACACATTTGTGTTGCAAAAGGCCACCTGTTCTCTTGGCAAGTGAAGCTTCACAGTGTAATGTCAGTGGATAGGCAGGCTTCTACCAGAAATATATACAATTGTGTCACATTATAAATAAGAAATATACTACGTGCGTTTACTCAGAAGACTGAAGTTCTACTCTTAGAAGATTTGACCCTCTGAATGCCCAGTTTAGTAGTGGTTATTGGTGCAGTTCTATGCCTATTGAAGCCTGGTCAGCACTATACTCTGCTATGTACCCAGAGTCATTTGATCATTTGATACAACAGTGGCAAAGACAATTCCTATTTGAAACCCAAACTTAAGGTTAGTGGAAATCTAGATAATGGATTTCACAGTGTCCAAATGATGGATTTCACATGGTGTCTTGAGTTGCCCTACAATCACCTGCTCAAGCACCCTTCCCAGAAAGGAGATTTATCTTGCTTGGAAGATACTAGGCAAACCACTTGTCAGCTCCATATCTGCAGTACATGAATAGTAATACCTTGCAGAACAAATAACATTACAACAGCATAATGTTTGTGAAGTATTTCCAGTTCTTTAAATAAGTATATAAATGCCTTTTCCTATGCCTACATATTTAATCCCTGTTACAGATATTCAGCTAATCCTTAAACATTTTCCTTCAAGATACTTTATGCATATTCTACAAGTATTATATTCATATGTTCTACGGCACAAGAGAAAATCATTTAACTGTCCTTTCACTGAAAACAAACTTTCTTAAAGAGTTCAAACGGTTCAATTGAATTTGCTGTTGGTCACTCTGCTGCTATGCACATACTTTAAAGTAAATGTTGTTGTTGTTCATTCGTTTAGTCATCTCCGACTCTTCGTGATCTCATGGACCAGCCCATTATAATGAATATAAATGAATAAAAAGTGTTCTAGAAAAGCTTGAACTTTCCACCACCATCCTAAAAAGGTTTGTGCTTTTTGGAGCTTGGAAAGTTGCTTTTTAAAAAGTTGTTCATTCATTTTATTCATTGCAAAGATAACTGAAATGAGTGGGATAATTTGTTTTGCAACTGTATTGTATTGTTTTGCGATTTATCATTCCTTTCCCCTTTGTTTGTGAATGTGTATACAGAAATATTTAGATGGTACACATTTGGCAAAAACCATTGTTTTTGCTTGATTTATTGTAAAATGCCATCATCTCTTATTCATTGCCATCATGGAGGTCTTCTGGGGAAGCTCTGCTCTCGGTCCCACCTGCTTTGCAAGTGTGGTTGATGGGGATGAGAGACAGGGCCTTCTCAGTGGTGGCTCCTCGGCTCTGGAACTCTCTCCCCAGTGAGATTAGATCAGCATCCTCCCTCCTGGCCTTTAGAAAGAGAACAAAGACATGGTTTTGAAATGCAGTAAAGTAACGCAGTACAAAAATCAAATATGGAACATGTGCAGTCGACATTGGAATGACTTGTTCTACGTGCTTTCTTCTGATCATGTTATTTTAATGTTTTATTAGGTGTTTCAATTCTTATGTTTCATGTTTTAAATGTCTTTCTATCTTACGATGAATTCTCCTGTTGATTTTATGCTTAGTTGTATGGTGTTGATTGTGATTTGGTTTACGTACATTGAGTTTTGTCACTATTTCTGTGTAAACCGCTTTAAGAGTGTCCCCCCCCCCCCCGGGTGAGAAAAGTGGTATATAAATACTGAAAATAAATAAATAAATAAATAGTTTTTGAAATGTGTCTGTGTTCTGTTAATCCCAAATAACTTTTACTACATAAATGGGTTCCTATAATTTGTTATTCTTAGTTCTAATATCTTACATATTACACCAGTTTAATTTGAGATTTGAATTCTGACAGCACTTGGGTGAATTAGTGCATTCCAGCATTTTGTGGTTAGATATACATTTAAGAAGGGATGGGAGCAGGTAGAGAGAGAGAGAGAGAGAGAGAGAGAGAGAGAGATTTCATTTTCACCTACTGTCCAAACTTTCCTCCAAAGAATGGAAGATAAATGGAAGGTGAAAGATATAATTTTGAGATATCAAAATGAATAATTACCATTTGCTTTTGTTATGATGGTGCTTTATATCATCAGCATTGCTGGACCTCACCTTTTGTTCCAGCTAGGCATTGCAGGTGATTTTAAAATGCTGCTGGTTAGCTCTAGAAGTGAACTCATTGAAAAACTATAAATTAGTAGTTAGGGATTTATGTAGTTGCTCGGTGCAGAAATGAGCTAGTTCAATTACCCGTTTACTTCAGCTGATATATGGCTTGAAATGTAACAGTGTCTGCTGCATTGACACTGTAGCCATTCTGCATTAAAAGGTTTTCATGCTAAAGTTATAAACAGTTGTGTATTACAGAATTAGTTGGACCTATTTTGAATCGTTTATATCACTTTAGAAGTCATTGGATTTTACATTAAAAATAAGATGATGTTAAATGCTTTTACTCTCTTGAAGAATTTTCTGGTAAATGTTGGATCAAAATGAGGGATGCAATCAAAATACAAATATCTGGAACTGGGAAGTCTTGAAATAAGAAAGTATCAGGCTAAGATAGAATTGTTGTGTTATTATCCGCCATCATATTGACTTAGACTTATGATGGCTCTATGAATGAGAGACTTCCAAGTCACACTGTCATCAACAACCCTACTCAGGTCTTTCAGACTTGGATGTGGTTTCCTTGATTGAGCCTATACATCTATGATGGAGACCCCCCCCCCCCGCCCCAATTGTCTTCTACCTTATCAAACATTATTGTCTTCTCAGAAGAGTCATGTATTTTCATGATACGTCCAGAGTGTAGCAGTCTCAATGTATTAATCTTTGCTTCAAAATAGCATTTGAGCTTGATATGCCCTAAGACCTTTCTCTGTTATTTGTCTTTTAAAGCAATTGATGGTATCCATAGAACTCTTCTCAATCACTGCATTTCAAATGAGTTGATTTTTTTCGAATAGCCTTCTTTACTGTCCAGGTTTCACCACCATACATAGAAATTGGAGATATGATCACATGAATAATCTTAATTTTAGAGGCATCTTCACCATCCCCCATTAAGTTTATACAATTTTAGAGGCATTACCTGTCTTTTTTATGTGAACATGGAAAACTAGTTTATAAAGTGTGAATTTCTAAGGAGATTTGAGTAAAGAATAACATTTAAATTTGTTTATCTTTTGTTCATTTATAGGCTGATCAAATAATGTTTGCACTGCATTTTGTGAAGGGAATGCATCCTGAACTTTTTCAAGATAATGTAAGTGAAATAGTAATGGTTCCTTTTTTAAATTCGGCACTAATGTTGAAAAGTATTTCTAGACGTATTGTATTTGCATGAGATTATCAGGAGAAAACTATCTCTCTGATCCACCACCGTGACTCCACAGATGGTGGAGATGTGCAGGAGAGATTTATCGGTGGCTTCACATAGACTCTAAAGCAATGATAACAAACCTATGGCACGCATGCCAGAATGGGCATGCAGCACTGTTTCTCCTGGCACATGTGTCATTGCCTGCCTGCCATTTTACAGATCCTCGTGCTTTTTCTGGCAATCGCCCACCCACCCGCCAGTCTTCTCACCATCCTCTTGCCCTCTCACCCCCACTCGCCCACTTGGCTTGCTCACTCCCCTGCTCATGTGGTCGCTCTCCCACCCACCTTACTTGCCCTCCTGCCCCCTGCTTGCCATTTCCTCCACTCGCCACTCCCACCCAATCTGCGCACTCCATCTGCAAAAGGAGGAGCCCCCGGTGGTGCAGGGGGTTAAACCTCTGTGCCGGCAGGACTGAAGACCGACAGGTCGCAGGTTCGAATCCGGGGAGAGGTGGATGAGCTCCCTCTATCAGCTCCAGCTCCTTATGCGGGGACATGAGAGAAGCCTCCCACGAGGATGATGAAAACATCAAAATCATCCAGGCGTCCCCTGGGCAACATCCTTGCAGACGGCCAATTTTCTCACACTAGAAGCAACTTGCAGTTTCTCAAGTTGCTCCTGACACGACCAAAAAAAAAAAATCTGCAAAAGGTTCTCCATCACTGCTGTAGGTGAAGCTACCAAAGGGGGGGGGGTCCAGAATGGCCCCCTGATGGATGTTGTTCCACCAACAGATTAAAATCTTTTTATTCACACATTGCAAACAGCCAAGAGTAGTACAAAATCTAGCTGCCAGTATTAAAAAAACTCTAAATTCAGGACAGTAAAGAGAGAACAACACTCAAAAATGGTAATTCCAGACAGAATGCAGCCAAGTTAAAGCTTAACTCTGAATGGATCATATACTTAGAAAGTATCATTCTAGATAAAAGTGCCTTAACGTTTGTGAAATAACAAGCATAATAACAGACTACACAGAGAAGCCATTGGAATCCACAAGCATGTGGACAATATCAACAGAAAGGAGGAAACCATGAAAATGGACAAGATCTGGCTGCCAGTATTTTTTAAAAAAACTTAATTCAGGACAGTAAAGAAAGAACAACATTCAAAAACGGGTATTCCAGACAAGACTCAACCAGGGCCAGCTAATCACCTCCCAACAAAGGATTCCCCCAAGTAGGAAACAGCCAAGCTTTGAAGCTACAAGACTACTCAGTGCTAATCAAGATTATCAACTGCAGTATTCACACTTGCGTCAAATAGACAAGAGTTCTTTCTCCCACCCTGGACAATCCACAGATATATAAACTTCATTTGCCTCATTTCCAGCAAACCTCACAATCTCTAAGGACGTCTGCCATAGATGTGGGCAAAACATCAGGAGAGAATTCTTGTGGAACGTGGCCATACAGTCCGGAAAACTCACAGCAATCCAGTTAGAAGGATTGTTTTAAACAGCTTTTTATTTATTTTTAATTTTATTTCAAATGAATTGTTTTAATGATTGTAACTAGTTTAATTCTATTTTAACCCTTACTGGAACTTTTTGTGTTTTTAACTGTATAGTTTTTGAAGTTATGAGCTGCTATATGTCCTGATGTTAGGGGAAAAGAGGAATGATGATGTTTGATGATGATCATGATAGTGGGATATTCTACGTATGTAACCACATAAAACTATGTGGTTAATGAACCAGGAGAGTTCATTTGTTGCAGCAAAAGTGACCCAAGAAGACTTATAAGAGGAATCCTTTAACTATGATTAAGAAATTAGGAATGGACCAAAGAACTGCACAGCCTCTCTGTTCAAATGAGATGCTAGTTAAGTAAGAACTTTGGTTAACCTGCATTAATATTGATATTGGTGCCATTTTAATGCACAGCTAGTTAAGACCATTGAGAGAAAGGGATCAGTGAGTGGAATTCATATTCTTAAGATTTTTTTCCCAAAAATCTTAGAGAATAGTTGAGGTGCCAGAGAACTGAAGAAGGGCAAATATTCTCTCTGTCTTCAAATAAAAGAGGGGAAAAAATGTAGATCAAGGAAACTACAAGGCGTTCAGCCTGACCTCAATACCAGAAAGAATATTATAGAGATTATACAGGACTCTGTCTGCAAGTATCTTAGTTATAATGCAGTGATTTGTAGGAGCCAGCATGGTTTTGTCAGGACAAATCCTACAAACTAATTTTACATCTTTTTGCTATCAGGTCAGTACTGTAGTTTTCAAGTTTTTTACCATAGTGTTCAGAACTCCCTCCTCCTTCAGCAGCAGCCAGGGCAGTGGCGGTCTCAACCATTTCAGGGGTGATGTGGCATTTGCCAGTACAGATTAACCCTGGGGTATGGGTAGTGCCCTTAATACCGACCAGAATAGACCTCCTCTGTCAACGAAACTTACACCAAGTTCTGTTCCGTAATTGGATCTATTCTACAGAAGACTGAGAACAGAATTTGGCCATTTATCCATTTGGTAATGTAATATGTAAGATAATTTATGTTTTCAAAATGTCCATGTGTACATTATGTTACATTATGTTTTTTCACAATCTTTCAACAGGAATGGGACACATTTACTGGCGTAATTATTGGTGACATGTTAAGAAAATCTGTGAGTAATCTGTTATATTACATATTTTATTATATCATGTACTGTCCTGAGCTCCCATAGATGAATGTGTGGTACAGTCAGCCCTCTGTGTTGCACAGAGAATCCACAAACTCAGCCAATCACGGCTTAAAAATATTGGGGTGAAAATCCCAAAACCACACCTGGATTTTGCCATACACTGAGTTCTACACTGATGTGTAGACATACCCTATTGTATCCTCTCATTGTTTCACAGATTCTCATACTTTTTCTGGCAAACAATTTTTTTGCTATCTATATAAATAAAAATGGAATGTCCGTTTGTGGGATTAACATAACTCAAAAACCACTGGATAAATTGACACGAAATTTGGACACAATACACCTATCAGACCAATGAGTGACCATCACTCATAAAAACGCTAAAAAAAACACAACAGAAGAGACTTAAAAAGCAAAAAAAAGAAAAAAGGAAAAGGATGTTACAGCGTATGCACAAAATGACTCCCCCTGGCAAACAAAAAACACAATAGCATATCCACACTCTCTTCCCGACTACAGCTCCCAGCATCCCCTAGACCAGGCCCTTTAGGAGAGGAAGGTGATCCAAATACACTGCTTCCAAGCTGCAAGCTTTCTTCTGGATGGCCCACGAGGTCTCTTCCAACTCTATGATTCAATGATTCTCCTTGGATTTCTTTGAGAGCACCCCAATCCCTGCATATTTCCTATTCCCGGGCTACAACTCCCAGCAATTCTCCAAATAGATAAGATAAATAGATTAGATAGAGATAGACAGGTAGGTAGATAGATTGATCAGGAGGCCTGCTGGGAGTTGCAGTCCAAGAATAGGTAGAGAAGGAAGAAAGCGGAGAAAGGGGAAGGGAAATAAAAGGGGGAAAGGAAGGGAAGAGGAAGAGAAGGAAGGAGAGAATGAAAGAATAAAAGGGAAGGGAGGGAGGAGAGAAAGAAAGGAGGAGAGAAAGAAGGAAAGAAGGAGGAAGGAAGGAGAGAAAGAAAGGAGGAGAGAAAGAAGGAAGGAAGGTTGGCCACAGCAACGCGTGGCAGGTACAGCTAGTTTTATATAAAGGGTGCTGTTTTACTGTGCCATTGTATACATTGGGTCTTAACTGCTGTTTACCAGTGTTATTACTATTATAATTTGACAAATAGTGATGTACTGAAGATGTATGGTTCTCATTTAGATGGCTAGACAGACAGATAGACAGACTAATATGTTGTGGCAAAGTATGGCACTGTAGATGATACTGGAGTGCAACTCCATCATTGTTGATTATGCTGGATAGGACTGATGGGGGTTGCAGTCCAAAAACATCTGAATGTCTGTACTTTGCCAAGCTTTGTTATAAAAATGTTCACATACATGAGAGAATGAAATGATGCCAGTAGAATGGGATGCTGCTTTAGGATTGTGCATCCATTGGCACAACATTTTAGATCTTTACAGTGCTTTGTTTGAAATCTACCTCTAGGAAGGGTAATTCACTTCTGAAAGAGGTATCGAGAGGAAAAGGTGTCACAACTGAAGCTTTCTCACCAATCCTTGTTTCCACAACAAGCCAAATATTTCAAAATTCAATTATCACAGGGACAGAGAGTGAGGTGAAATCTGAACAGCGGCACAAATAGCAAACCCCACAAGGGTCTCAACCCTTCCCTGTGCTCTTCCAAAGCTTTTATATATGTATGTATGTATTTATTTAAAACATTTATATTATGCCCTTCTCACCCTGCAGGGGACTCAGGGTGGAGCACAACTTATATATGGCAAACATTCAATGCTGGGACACACACACGGCTCCCTGGTGGCACAGCAGATTAAACTGCTGAGCTGCTGAACTTGCTGACCGAAAGGTTAGCGGTTCAACTGCAGGGAGCGGAGTGAGCTCCCTTTGTTAGGCCCAGTTTCTGCCAGCCTAGCAATTCAAAAACATGCATGAGTAGATTAATAGATACCGCTCTGTGGGAAGGTAACAGCGCTCCATGCAGTCATGCTGGCCACATGACCTTGGAGGTGTCTACGTACAGTGCTGGCTCTTCAGCTTAGAAATGGATATGAGCACCATCCACACAGAGTCTGACACAACTAGACTTAATGTCAGGGGAAAACCTCTACCTTTATACACACACACACATGTATATATATATATATTTGGCTGGAGTTACACTTTTAAAAGTGTTGTTCTGACTTGCATACAAATTCAACTTAAGAACAAACCTATTGAACCTATCTTGTTCATAGCGTCAGGACTGCCAGTATTTCAGAATGGCAAAGTTATGTTTTCTCTCTCTTTCTTTAAAAGAAATGTTTAAATATGACTAGATTGTGACATTATTAAATAATTTCTGTTATCTAGATTTGCAAAAGTATATGTAACACTCATAGTCCCCTTTGTATTTATTTTATTAAGGATTCCCAGAAAAGCGTTAGAGACCAGATACCTTCTTGGATTGAACAGGAAAGAACCTGGGCAGTAGCAACACTGAAGGTACTATTACATTTGAATGTTTCTATATATACCAAGGTCTTCTAAAGAAGAAATGTAAAAGTGTTAATGCAATAGAAACTGAAATGAATATTACTAATTTGAATTTTATTTGTTCCAAAGTCCATTTTTCTCACTTCTTTTGTATTTAAACTACACTCACATAATCTGTTGGGTTTTTTTTCAATGATGCAGAAATTGGTCTTACATTTTTCAGGCACAAGTTCACATTTCTGCATAATAAATAGTTAGGCATAGCCTTCAGAATGTCTGTATTCATTGCTTTTCCTTTCTTTTTCTTATTATGCATAAATAGGACAAATGGTTTGAATTAAATAGTACATGAATTAAATGAAATTTCAAATTTCAACAAGTAATATTTCAATAATAGTGTTACACAACATATGCATGCTTTATTTCTTTTCTGTTGCATTTTATTTTAATTGTGTTAAAACATGTATTATTTAACTATACTTGTGAAATGAGTGTATTTCTTTTGTGTCAGAAACATTTATGGGTGTTTGTTTTGGATGATACGAGTGATATATTGCAACAATATATCCCATCAATAGAAAAATATCTCATTCTTACACAATATTTTTGAAAATATGAACAGGACAAAACAGATAATATAATTTGACCATCCCTTATCCATATTGGGTTGCTTTGTGTTTTCCAAGCTGTTTCCCTTATCCAAATTGTTTGAGACCAGAAGTGTTTTTGGATTTTAGATGGTTTTATATATATAATTAGATACCTTGGAGATCGGGCCAAGTCTAAATTCGTTTATGTGTCATATACACCTAACCTGAGGGCAACTTTATGCACAATATTTTAAATAATGTGCTTGAAACAAAGTTCATGTACATTGAACCATCAGAAGTCAAACGTGTCACTGTCATGTAGACAATTTTGGATTTTGAAGTATTTCAGATTTCTGGATAAGGAATAATCAACCTACAGTGGGCAGGGCTGAATGAATGACAGCATCAAAAGAAAACTAGCTTTTTGTCTACAACTCCCAGAATTCGCAGGCAGGGGCACTGCTAGCTGGATTATGCTGAATGTTGTATTTCAAAAAAACTTTTTTTCTAGAATCTGTGAAGGGATTTGCAAGATTGGAACTGGATGTGTTATTTTAAATAGAGGAGAGTTGGAGCTGTGTTGCAAGAGAATCTTGCAGTAAAATTGATTATGAATAAGGGTTTAAAGTTGGGAGACAAGTTGCTTTTTCTCATTGAAAGAAGGTCCAAAAGACATGAAGATGAAATATGTTGCCACAGAGTGTGTTGGAATCTGCTTCTGTGGAGGTTTTTAAGCAAAGGCTGAATGTCCATCTGTAGGAGTGCTTTGATTTCGTATTTCTGCATGGCAATGGGTTGGATTAGAAGGCCCATTCTCTGATCATCCTTCTGCATATGAACTGGATTCCAGAATGTCTTCTGATTTTGCTTAACCACAGATTAATAGCTTCAGTGTCAGTGACAGTTTGTATGTTCTATATCATGTTTTGAATTTTTTTGGTTGTGTCAGGAGCAACTTGAGGAACTGCAAGTCACTTCTGGTCTGAAAGAATTGGCCGTCTGCAAGGAAGTTGTCCAGGGGGACACCCAGATGTTTTTGGTTTTTTGCCATCCTTGTGGGAGGCTTCTCTCATGTCCCCACATGGGGAGCTGGAGCTGACAGAGGGAGTTTATCCGCGGTCTCCCCGGATTTGAATCTGCAACCTGTTGGTTTTCAGTCCTGTCTCCTCAAGGGTTTAACCCACTGTGCCACTGGGGGCTTTGAATGTGTGTTTCATACCACTAGAGGAATATGTGAATAGGGTGTGGATCAATGAATACTTGCTCCCAGATTTTATTCATCTGTAAGTTTGAGGTATGATAGAAGCATGTTGGGAGACAGCTGAGTTGGGGCATGGACAGGATCAACTCTTTTTTTCTTGGTGTAATCCTAATTTTAGTCCTGATGAAGGTTTTTGGCTCCAGACCTGCTATTAATAATGGGGGGGAAGCACCCATTTCAACAATGGTCTTATAATGATCACATTGTTTTTGATCCATTTTGTAGGTTGGTTATGAAACTATGAGATCATACCCTTGGATATCAGTGAGAATAGTTACTTTAGCATGGTGCTTAAAGGCTAAGAACTGTGGTCATATGACTGCTTATTGAAAATTGTTCTGTGAAATCTAAAATATATGTGTTTGTTCTGTAGATCTCTCTCCCAATTCTGTATCAAACACTTTGCTTTCAAGATGCACCACTGTGGCAGACATTTTCACGGAGCTCAATGTGTGAACAAGATTTTCCCTCTATTATTGCAAACAGAATCTCACTCTTTCAACAGGTAAGTGTTCATATTTGAAGCTTAAATGGTAGCTACCGAATTAGTGGATAAAACTCTTCTGGTGGAATTTGTTGTTATTAGTTGTATAAACATTAATAAATGTAATTAGCTCAATCACATTGCTTTCAGTCAAATGTCTAGTTTATCATTTTCCCATTCATTTATATTACTGCTTGAAACTTTTTAATAGGTAATATAAGGCAAGAAAATATCTAGTGACTGCTGACATAAGAGACTACATACTTGTATCTATCTCTTTCTAGAACCACAGTCTCTGGCACGTATGATATAGTATGAGCCTCTGTAGAGATGGAAATAATATTCATAATTATTCATTCCTGGGACCAAAAATGGGTTTCTCAACTGTTGGGAATTCCCAGAAGGAAGAATAATAAACTACTCAAATTTTGCATTATTTTCTTCTGTTACTCAGTGTCCCAAAGTGTTGTAGAGTAATTATTCTTTGGAGAAAAGCATATGGGTTTTGTGCCAAGAAACTGTGTGCAGTGTTTGTGTGCAGAACTGCACATGTTTTTTTTCCATAGAATTCCTTTGTGACACTTTGGAAAGAACAAATATGGGGAAAATGCTTTTGAGGAACATTCTTTTCTTTACAAAAGGGAGAAAACTTCTCTATTTGTTGTCACATGCAAGTATGAAATAATCAAGAACTTTTATCCTTTAGCCTCTGGGATGGTTTGTGTGTATGTGTGTGTTTGTTTGTGTGTGTGCTTATAATTGTTTGTTTGTGTGTGTGCTTATAATTTTCACATGGTGGGCTTCCTTTAAAGTATGCTTATTCTAGCTTTATTATGTAATAAATAATGTATGGCACCTAAGACGATGCAACTCTTGTTCATTAAGTATGAGGCTTGTGCTTGCAAAGTGCTACTGAGTCTGTAAGGCCAAATCCTATGATGTTGTCTACTTAGTTATGTTTGGCTACATTAAATAATGTTCAAAAACTGGATGGCGGCATGTAGTTGCTTTGCATATTAACTTCCAGAACACAGCCATGTTTCAAGAAGTATTTCTAATTAAATCACCTTGTTAAATAAAGCAGCAAGCCTCTGTGTTATTCAGCTTAAGTAAAGAAGACAAACTCTGGAAAATGTAGGGTCAAATACTCTTCATATGTCCTGTGAAGCCTGTGCACCCAAGTACCTTTAGAGCAGAAAGTAAACTGATCAGAAACAATGAAAATTGTAATATTTTGTATTTCATAAACCCTAGAATTCTCAGGGGGCCATGATGGCACAGTGGGATAAACCACTAAGCTGCAGAACTTGCTGACTGAAGATTCGACTGAAAGGTCGAATCTGCGAGATAGAGTGAGCTTCCATTGTTAGCCTCAGTTTCCCAGATTCTGCCAAACTAGCAGTTCGAAAACATGCAAATGTGAGTAGGTACCGCTTCAGCAGGAAGGTAACGGTGTTCCATGCAGTCATGCCAGCCACATGACCTATGAGGCATCTATGGGCAATGCTGGCTCTTAGGCTTAGAAATGGAGATGAGCATCACTCCTCAGTCAGACTTGACTACACCTAATGTCAAGGGAAAACCTTTACCTTTACCTTTTAGAATTCTCTTGTGCTCTTTAACATACAGTACTATTTGAGATCACATTAAAGAAAAAGAACAAAGAAAAACATGTGTTCACAGCATTTCCTAATAGATTGGTGGAATTCCACCAATTAAAATGAAACAAAAGCCAGGGCTTACAAGCTACAAAGTAACTCCAGATTTAGTTAACTGCAGCTTGGCTGCAGGAAGCAAATTTCCCTAACCTTGCCTCCATGGCAGCCACTGAAAATGGTACATGCAAGATTGAATGGAAGTGTGAGTTGACGGTGATGTGAAGGAAAAGGAGGTATTCCTCAAAATCAGACAGAGGCACCTGTTCTTCTTCCACACATCCATTTTGTTGTGTGTTCCTGCATGGCAAGTGCTAAATTTCGAAACCTAGATGAGAAAGGTGGTCAGGAAGCTAAGAAATTGAATTACACACCAGCAGATTTTTGCATCTTTACAGCCTTGTTGATGTAGAAAATTCTACAAAAAAAAACAACAAAAAACTGCGCACTGGCAAGTCATGTCTGTGAATTTGGTTCGATATGTAATATTTCTTGAGTCTGTTTTTCTAATTTGGGTAACATGGCTGTATGTAGGAAATATTTTCTCTCTCTTAAAATCATCCTTTTCCCTGATTCAATGTAAAAGATTCACTGTACAAGTATCATTCAGATATATAAGAATCCTGCTCTTATTACAGTGATACCAGTGATACTAATGCTGACAGCACTGAGGCAGAGTGAGAGGTGTGTAAACAGAAGAGGAGATGAGTTCTGTCTCTTTTTATAGCCTCGCAACTGCTATCTATACATTGGATGACAATTCCAGCTGAATAGGTCTTGAGCAAACGGCATCTTCTCAGTTTTAAAATGTCCCCTACCACTTCGCCTTGGCTGGCATTGTTACGTTGGTGCATTGTCAATCCTTTCCAGCTAAATTGATTTGCTATATAATAAAGGGCTGGAACTGGGACTGACTAAGCAATGGCATTAATAAATTAATTTATTAGTCACAGATTGAAAACTGTCAATTTTAATCAGATTTTAATTGATCTGTCTCCTATGAATGGTAATAACACTCAATGGTTTAAATAATTTATGTGTATTTTCCTGTTATTTAGAAAGCAGGCAATTTTCATTAAAGGTTTTCAGATATTACCTGCACCACAGGACAGAAATTGATGTTTATTTTAACTACTTTGCATTGAGAGTTGTATTGAAATCCTATGCATCTCTACTCAAGCAGAAACTGCATTAACTTCAGTGGAATTAACTACTAGATTGATTGCAACCTGAATCAGTCACAAACCAATATTTAAGTGGTGGTCTGTCCTAGAAATACAGCAGAGTTCATCTGGAATCAAAATGATGCCAAACATATCTCTTTATTTGAGCAAATGATATCTAGACTAGCTCCCTATTTCTGATTCTGTTGAATCGTATACAACCAGGAAGTCTCCCAGCATAATAATAATAATCTTATTATTTTCCCAGTAGCAGTCTGTTGTGGGAGTTTCATTTCTGGCTTGTGGCTAAACATAAAATAATATACTTATTATCTAGAAATTTGTTGAATACCATTATACACTGTTCAGGTACTAGACATAGCTGCATTCTGTTTCTTGAATTCCTAAATCTTTTGCCAGTTATGAATGAGCCTGAATTGGATTTTATGAGTGACAGTGAAAAAGCCCCCGCCCCACCGCCATTCCACTTTTGTAAAGCTTCATTGTATTTCCATATACTTACTTTTTAGAAGTATACACTCAGAAACACTTTAGATTTCCTTGTTAGAATGGTGCTTCAACTTCATGATCATTCTGATGACACTTACTAACAGTTTCTTTAGTTTTGTGATATCTATTTAGAGATGGGGGCCGTCAGAACTATACTCACTTTCCCAACTAGTAATGGTTTTCTCAGTGGATTTGTATAATGTTTTATTTTAAAATATTAGATGAAAATATCGAGTTAAGACCTGTATGACAACAGTTTGTTAATTGAATGGATGTATCAATAAATATAATAATAATAATAATAATAATAATAAGAAGAAGAAGAAGAAAACATTTAATGTTTAAAAATAAAACCTCATAAAATAGTTTCTTTTATACTTGAACTCTTTAATATATTGTGACTTTGAAAGTAAAATTTTCTGTAAATCCTTTGTATCTGGCACGTGATACTAATTATCTACCAGTGTTTGATAATGTGCTGGAATCTTAATGTGAATATATTTTGTTTAAGGTTCTTGTGGTCCAAGCTGTCAGACCAGATAGGCTGCAGAGTGCAATGGCTCTTTTTGCATGCAAAGCTCTAGGTAAGTTGGCATTTTAAAGAATATCATGCAGTAAGCAATATTTTAATTTTGATACAACTAATTGTACTGCACATACCAAGACATGGATGTTACATAGATAGTTTCTGTCTGTATTTCTGGATTGGGGAGGCTTTTCAGGGGTACCCTCCCACTCTGTCAGCTGTCACTCCTAATGCTATTTTTTTTAAAAAAAATGCCCAAACAAATTGTGATTCTAGAACACCATCAATTCTAAGTCCCCCCCTCCTTTTTTGAACCTTGATTTGGGGGGCGGAGGGAGAGAGGATACATTTTAGAATGGGTTGCTGTGAGTTTTCTGGGCTGTATGACCATGTTCCAGAAGCATTCTTTCCTGGTGTTTCACTCACATCTATGGCAGGCATCCTCAGAGGTTGAGAGGTCTGATGGAAACAAGGCAAGTGAGGTTTATATATCCATAGAATGTCCAGGGTGGGAGAAAGAACTCTTGCCTGCTTGAGGCAGGTGTGAATGTTGCAATTGGCCACCTTGATTAGCATTTAATGGCCTTGCAACTTTAAAGCCTGGCTGGTTGCTGCCTGGGGGAATCCTTTGTTGGGATGTGTTAACTGGCCCTGATTGATTCTTGTCTGGAATTCCCCTGTTTTTGATTGTTGCTGTTTCTTTACTGTCTTGAGTTTCAATTTTTTAAAATACTGGTAGCCAGGTTCATTTGTTCATTTTCATGGTTTCTTCCTTTCTTTTGAAATTGTCCACATGCTTCTGGATTTCATTGACATCTCTGTGTAGTCTGACATGGTAGTTGTTAGAGTGGTCCAGCATTTCTGTGTTTTCAGATAATATGCTGTGTCCAGATTAGTTCATCAGGTGCTCTGCTGTGGCTGACTTCTCAGGTTGAAGTAGTCTGCAGTGCCTTTCGTGTTCCTTGATTTGTATTTCGTCAATGCTGCATTTGGTGGTCCCTATGTAGACTTGTCTACAGCTGCATGGTATACGGTAGACTCCTGCAGAGGCGAGAGGTTCCCTCTTGTCCCTTGCTGAACATAACATTTGTTGGATTTTCTTAGTGGGTCTGTAGATTGTTTGTATGTTATGTTTCTTCATCAGCTTCTCTATGTGGTCAGTGGTTCCCTTGATGTATGGTAAGAATCCTTTTCCTCTGGGTGGGTCTTTGTCTTAACTCTTGTGGCTTGTTCTTGGTCATGCCGCTCTTCTGATGCCTGTGGTGGCCTATCCATTGGCCTTTAGAGCCAAGTTTAGGTGGTTCAGTTCAGCTTGGAGGAAGTGGGGTTCGCAGTTTTCAAGTTGGAAACTTGCTTGGTTTCCAACAAGCCTCTCAACCTCTGAGGATCCCTGCCATAGATGTGGACAAAACGTCAGGAGAGAATGCTTCTGGAACATGGCCATACAGCCTGGGAAAAATTACAGCAACCCAGTGATTCTGGCCATTAAAGCCTTGGACAACACATTTTAGAATTGAAATATGTTATATTTTAAATGGATCAGGCTGAGAAACTTCAGAGAGTGGCTTATGGTTAATCTATTTGGCCAAAAGGCTAGAATAGGTGACTAGTTAAAATACATTCTTAACTTTCCCACAATTTTATTTTATACATCTATCTATTTCTAGGGATTAAAGAGTTGTCCCCGCCACCGCTAAATCTGAAACGACTCTACAAAGAAACACTTGAAATTGAACCCATATTGATCATTATTTCTCCTGGGGCCGATCCTTCCCAGGAATTACAAGAACTTGCAAGTGTTGAAAGAAGTGGAGATTGCTACCACCAGGTGACTTTCTGATGTGCATTAAGTCCAAAAAAGGCCTCATATACTTTGGGTGATCAGGGCTCATTGGCTGAGCATCTCATTTTGTCTTTATTTACTATATTTGAACTTAAATACAATTGCTTTCATTCACATTTGTGTCATCATTATTCATGACATAATCATCATCATCATCAATCATCATATTTAATTGCTTATTTATTTTCACGTTTAATTTTACTGCATGTTTTGATGTGACTCCCATTTTCTCCCTTAGCTGTTAGAATTCACATCATTGTATTTAGGACTTGCTTTTTGATACATGCTTGGGCAATCATCTTCGACTTCCCAAGTATTTTCTTTAAGGTCATTCAGATCAGACTTGATAATACTGTTATAATTCTGCATTTAGTCATAATGGCTTCATCTACAGGAGTCCTAAAATATACAGTATTTTCCACAATAACCTAATATATTTGACTGTCTTTTTTAGGTTGCTATGGGCCAGGGCCAAGCTGATCTAGCTATTCAGACTGTGAAAGAATGTGCAAAGACTGGAGAATGGCTTTGTTTGAAGAATTTGCACCTTGTTGTGTCATGGCTTCCCATATTGGAAAAAGTAAGAAGTCATACATTCAAAAGGCTTCAAGCTTTGTTTCATGGTAGAAGGTGATTGCTAGGAAATTCAAATGATCTACTATATATAGACTCAGGTGTAAATCTAAAAATTTGACACGTGCAAAAACTATCAAAAACTGGATTGAGAAGGAGCCTGGCAGTGTTTGTTTTCCATGTTTTACTAACCTCTGTTCCAGAACGCTGTAATGCTGCTAGAACCTGGCCATACAGCCCGAAACCACACAACACTCCAATGATTCCAAGGAAGGCTTCAACAATACTCAAAACACTATAATTTGTCTAACTGTGGTTATTGAAGAAGAAGGGGTAGACTAAAACATGAATTTCATATCTCAGTTTTTCCCCTCAAACCAGGCATAATATGATTACCAATATGCCAGGAGTAGCCAACAGTTATTCTGAAATTGTTTGGAACAAATAATATTTGTAAAAATATAAAATTTTATTCATGGTTTTCTGATAGGGGTTCTGCACTAAAATCACAGTATATCTTTAGTTTAATTTCCCCCCCTCTGTGAAATATTGTATAAAGTTTCTGTTTTTATTGCCTGTAGGAACTTAACAATTTGCAACCTCAACCTGGGTTCCGTCTTTGGTTGACTGCTGAAGTCCATCCCAAATTTTCTCCCATTTTGCTTCAGTCAAGTCTCAAGATTACCTATGAGGTAAGATATAAGATTTTTTTATGATTATATGGGAGCCAGAGTTGTGTAGGCATATCAGTGTTAGTTGTCTCTCTCTTTCCCTTTTTTCCATTGTATTTTTGTATCAAGTTGGTTAATCTGTCCATTTTTCTTATGTCCATAATCTTTTAATTCCAATCTTCAATTTTAGTAATTTCACTTTTCTCCATAGTCTTTCATAGCAAATTCTTGCAGCTGTTGTTGATAGAAAAAGAAGTTTATATGTATTGCTGTCTATTTTTTGTTCATTAATTCCCAATAAAAATATTTTTGGTTTTAGTTTTTACATTAAACTGTTATTTTCTGCTTCAGGCACCTCCAGGTCTAAAAAAGAACTTAATGCGCACATATGAATCTTGGACGCCAGAGCAAATTAGCAAAAAGGGTAACTTGTCTCGTGCCCATGCTCTTTTTAGCTTGGCTTGGTTTCATGCAGCATGTCAAGAAAGAAGGAATTATATCCCTCAGGTAATGAGCGTTGCTATGATTTCTTTTGTATGGATCATACGCTAATTACATTCCGTCCTATCATATTTATTCCTGTACACTGAAATTAAATTATTCCGAGACTATAGAATTTTTGTTTTGCTATCTCAAACACATTGTGCACGGATATATTAATAACAGTTGTCCTATGTTTTCCTGTCTTCCCATGATCAATTTTATTAGCTCCAGCTATTTTCTTGTACTAAGATGAACAGTTAATATGTAATAATTGATGTTTGGTTTTTTCCAAAACAATTTTTAGTTGGAAGCTATTTTAAGTGTCTTAAAGACCTTGCAGCTGTCTTAAATACTTAAAGTTTGTTTGTTTGATTTGGATGTGTGCCTCAAGAAAGCTGCCTTGCGGGTTGTTCTATTTTTCCTAAATTTATGCTTGCTCTTGTTTTTGTTTTTCTTACGTTTGAAGGTCACAATGACTTACATGAGTTAGACTCTTCTCCATTTTCTAAAACCAGAGTTATTTGTGTTCTGCCTCTAAAAGTGATTCTCTGGATTACGTTTGAGTTTTAGGAGTCTTAAATTGTCAATTAATGGTCAGCATTAATAAGACTCCACTGCCAAAAAAAAATTCAAACTGGATAACATTTTTAGATATTTCAAAATTTTAGAACTCTGCAGTTTAGAAACATTGGGAGGATGCAGACATTCTAATAAGTCAGAATTCTAGATTTCTAGTTTACAATGAATAGGTTATCATGCTGATGCATCCTGACTGATCTCTCTGCTTCACGGAAAAGCTGCTGAATAAACCATCAACATTATATTGATGATTTCTTTAGAGTATTGGTTCTCAACCTGTGGGTCCCCAGATGTTTTGGGCTTCAACTCCCAGTAAACTGGCGGGGATTTCTGGGAGTTGTAGGCCAAAACACCTGGGGACCCATAGGTTGAGAACTACTGCTTTAGAGTGAAACATGTTTGTTTTTCAGTCATGTTTGTTTCTCATAATAAATCAGAAAAAATGCCCTATAATTTGGGGGGGGGGGCAGTGACCTTGTATGCTCTCCCCAAGATCATTTGGAGACCCTCATAGTAATCCACCCCCCATACAATTATATAAATACATCTTCCTCCCAAAATGACCCCCTACTATGGAAACTAGGGGTGGATGGTCCATAGTTCATTTGGCCATGCCTATGTGAGGCTGCCCTGAGTCCCCCTTGTGGGGAGAAGGGTGGGATAGAAGGGTGTGAAATAAATAAAATAAATAAATGTTGCAAATGGGAGTGATCAACCATGATGGCCTGTTCTCTGCAACACTCTACTGAAATATGGCTTACAAGGATATGTGAACCAGGTTACGGAATTCCATAAAGTAGAAGCCAACAGAAATAGAGTTCAATGTGAATTTGTTAATAGAAGATGAGTTGTGAACTATGAGACTTTCTAGATCGGGGTGGGGAATGTCCATCCTGGGAGCCGTATACAGCCCCCAAGATCAATTAGCCTGAGCTTTGGTTTCCACTCAAATACTAACCAAGTACTGACTCAGATCTGGTGCCTTTAACAAGCCTTGAAAAACTGAATCTCAGATGAATTTAAGATGATTATAGTACACAGAAAAGACCTCAAGAGTTGATGATAGAAACACTGGATATGTTCCAAATCCAAGATGCAAGATTAGAACAAAGCTAATAATCGGCATCCAAGACCACACAGCTGTGGCTGCTATGGATGAGGGAACATCTTTGATGGCCTCCTTAGATAGAGACTAGGGTTACATTGCTTGATGTGTGCACTTGCTGAGGTAGGTCACATGGGGATATAATTATAATTTATAATTATAATAATAATTAATAATAATATAACCATATAATTTTGTAATTATTTATAATTTTTAAAAAAGAAAGAAAGAACTGTGTGGCCTGCAACTGATAGTATACATATCCAAATGGCCCTTGGAAGAAAAAAGTTTCCCCACCCTTGTTCTAGATGCTGTTGGTCTATAGCTCCCTGTCTTTGTCACTACACAATATGCTGGGAAGATTTCTAGGTGTCCAATCCACTAGTATAGACAATATTGTATTGCTAAATGTTGTAATAGTCAATAGACCAGTAAACTTTGTTTCTTTTAACTAGACTGATATACTTCTCTGAGATTTAGAAAACCTTCTTTATTTCATTTGGGGCACTTGGGATAGTTGAATTCTTTGCATTTTTTTTCTGCTGAAATTTGACATGGAACAAAGTTTTGAACATTTTCTTATCATTTGAGCACTCACACTTAATAATGCCAGTTGAATAAATTGTATTCTTTTTCTTTTATAGGGTTGGACTAAATTCTATGAATTTTCTTTATCTGATCTTCGTGCAGGGTATGACATTATTGATAGACTTTTTGATGGTGAGTAATCATTTCCTCAAGGAATTTCAATGGTTGAATTTCTTTGAAACCATAAATCATTTAAACCGTCACTTGGTTATATCTTTTATCATTCAAACTCTAAATAAGATTGTCCTTGGGGAATGGTTTATATCCAATTATTAAATATAAATGTGTATATATACATTGATAATTAATGAAATCTCTTTATGTAAGAACATATTTTTTTTTTTGAAATAGTATGTCCGTTTTATGAAAATGTGATTAATGGGAGAATTATGAACAATAGCTGTTGACATAAGAACATTTCATATAACTATGAATAATAAAAAATTATAGTTTTACACATTCAAGCATAGAAAAGAAAATGTACTTAAACTCATCAGTATAAAGCCAGAGGATTTGATTTACACATGATTTTTAAAAAGTGTAACAGTATATGGCATAGTCTGAAACATAACTGAAAATTTTATTCTACCAGATACATTTCACATTTCTTGTTTAGAGGATCTTTGTTATACAAAGATCCTCTAAATACAAATATGATTTTTAGTAAATGAAAAGAGTCAGGTTTATGAAATAAATACATCCTTCAATAATGAAATATGTTGTTTATAATATAAGAAATAAAGTTTATTTCTTGATTTATTAAAATAGGCATACAATATAAATGCTTGTTGCATACAATGTTGTTTTCATGTTGTTGATAATTCATTAACATTTATCACATATTGCATTTGTTTAAGGACCTTCTGGGTAGAAATAAAGTTTTGGTGTATACCAACACTTTAATTATATACAAATGAGATGCTCACTAAATAGTGTAAAATCTATCCAAATATATAAAAGGAACAAGACAGTCAGTAGAAAAGTGCTAATGTAAATTAAACAGCTAAACAAAATATTTTCTGTTCACTGTTTTAAGTTAAATCAGGGTTTTTTTTACACACTATGAAGTTCATTTCAGACTTTTTTGCATTTGCATTACATTACTACAATAAAAATCAAACCTGAATGAAGTTGAAAAATTCAATTCATGATTTTATTCTTCTCTCCCATACCTGTTTTCAATTTAGAAACAATGAAAACAGATGCATGAAATTTTGTAATCTACCTTCTTTACTCATCCACTTGCTGAAGGTTAATGCAGGAGTTTAAAAATAGAGAAAAGTGATGCAGGAAACAAAAACATAGCTGTATATAAATCATTTATTTATTTACTTTGTTTTATCATACCTTTCTCTGTATATAGGGACACAAGGTGATTAACGATAGATATTAAAATGCTTATAAAACAGTGTAAAAGTAGATATACGCACACACATATACATATGCAATTAAACAATTTATATTAAAACCATTACCATTAAAATATTATACTATATTTTCATTATAGCCCCATCTTAAAATCCCAATAACACCACCTTTAAATATTCAGACGTCATCAGTGTATAAACATTTAATGGCAGAGAAATGTTTTTACTTGCCAATGAAAGGGGGTACGAACAGAGGAAATTCCATGGTCTGGGAGCAGCCATCGAAAAGGCCCTCTCCTTTCTTCCCACCAAACGAGCTTGAAAGAAAAGGCCCCCTTCAGATGATCGTAGTGTTCTAATAGGCTAATAAAGAAAGATACAATCCTTTAAATAACCTGGACACAAATCCACTCCTATCAACAACAAAAACAAAAAGATGATATGTTTAAGAAGTATACACTCCTTGAATTGCACATCCAGTGGGAACAATTTTATCTTCTTAGCTTTTTCTTTCTTCTTAAAACTGTTTCCATGATTTTTTTTCTATTTTTCTGTAAGTGGATTCTGAAAGACAAAAATGAAAGAAATCCAAAGACAACATTTTTAATAAAGCATTTGACATCAACATCTCATTCAAAACACTTAGGACATTTATGTTCCAGCATCAAAGTAATAAGACACTGATCAATTCTTATTTTAAATGAGCAAAGTTAGGATAACTGGATATTGGAGTACAAATCCCATTCAACAAGCATAGCCAATGATAGCAATCATAGCCAATGATGAGGAATGCTGATAGTTGCAGTCCTTCTTGGATCTTCTTGATCAGGAGCATGTCAAATTGTAATTCGGCTTTAAAATGTTGCTCCACTTGAGGTGTGATGCTTAATTTGTTCTGTTGGCCAATATGATTGTATGGTAGAAACTGCTGTACTTAATCTGTATTTTTTGTCATTATTTGCTAGAAAGATTGCATCTATTTCGTACTTGTACCAGAGTACAGGCAGTCCCCAAGTTACAAACATCTGACTTACAAATAACACATAGTTAATAGGCTTGTACATGGATACATTTTCAAAAAAAGTCTCAGGTTGGTTCAGATGCCTGTAACAACATGGGCTCTACCGTGATTTTTTTTCCGGCCGCAATAGAACAGCAGTTGTCGCAACCCGTCTGCTTTTGGTTTCTTTGGAGTGTGGGGAGGGAGGCAGCCACTAGAAGGGAAAGGATCCCAGAAAGGATTGCAGGAAGTGGTGTTTCTTAAGCCCTTGGCTTAAATCTGAGTCTCCTCTAAATGGAGAAGAGAAAGGATAGCAGGAAGTGAGGAATCTTAAGCACTTGCCTTAAACCTGAGTCTCCTTTAAAGGGAAAAGATAGCAGGAAGGGAGGAATCTTGAAACCTTGCTTGAAACCTGGGTCTTATCCAAAGGGAGGAGGGAAAACAGGAAGGGGGTTTCTTAAGCTCTTACCTTAAACTTGGGAAGCCCCCCCCCCCCAATTTCCACCAAGGGGCCGGATTGAAAACTAATCTTTCGGTTTCCCTGATCAAATTTGGATTTCAGTCCTCCTGAATTTGGAAGGCTCCTGAAAAATGGATCGAAGCCCCCACCGAAATTTGGGACACCAAAACAGATTAAGGTTTACCTGGATTGTACAAGCTAAATAGTTAAGAATGGGAATGAGACAACAGGAAGTGAGAGAAATCTATCCCTTGGAAGGGAAATTCATTCCTGAAAGAGTTATCGTTGGGAAAATTCTCCCTGGGGAGATAGGGCAGCCTATAAATAAAGTTATTATTATTATTTTAATTATTATTTATTAAAAGGTATCGTAACTGAAGCTTTATCACCCAACCTTGTTTCTACAAGCCATTTTTTTTTTCAAAATCCAATATCATAGGGATGGAAAGTGAGGCAAAATCTTCTGAATTAGGGCATAGACAGCAAAACAAGCACCATATATATGTATTTGACTGGAGTTACACTTCAAAAATATATCTGTTCCAACTTACATACAGATTCACCTTAAGACCAAACCTACAGAACCTATCTTGTTCATAACTTGTGTGCTGCCTGTTCTTAATTTTAAAACCCTAAAGTGAATACTGTTGCATCTTCTTTTTCTCTTTAGATCTAGTATAACAGCTGTTGCAGCATCAGCACATAAAGATAAACTTCTTAATTACCCAATTTAAATAAATTTATTTGTAAACATTATGAATTATCCTGATCCTACCATATACTAAAATATTTTTAAAATCCAATATCTATTTGTACTTATTTAAATATATTGTACTCATTAAACATAATTTGACACACACGCATGCATGTATGGTTTCTAAAGTTCATCTACAGTATTTTAATCCACATTTGCTTGGAATGAAATGTATCTAAAATATCTGCACTGAGATCCTTAACACTTGCCAAAAAACCCCCGGCTTAATTTAATAGTAGTGAATGGGTAACAGAAGTGATTTAATGGACTTTGAATGGGAATAGTTCTTTCCTTTAGAAATATATTACATTAATTAAAAATATTACTAGGAGTGATAAGGAAGAGGTTAGCAAATGAAAATGCTATTGTTTCTCATTGGAGGGGGGGATACATTAATATTACATGGAATGAAGTTTGGGGAAAAGATGCTGAAACATACACACAATACCTAGTGCAGGGGTGTCAAGCTAATTTTCACCAAGTGCCATTTGTAATTGTAAGACTGTATAACTGTAACTGTTGCCCTGGTATTGAAAGCCTCATGGACCACATAAATGATGTGACAGGCCGGTTTTCACATATGGGCTTTGTATTTTTCATGTGTGCCCTAGTGGAATTAATATGGTTTTTTTTTCCTTATCTCTGGTAATAAATATGTGAGATAAGTTCAAGTTGCTAGAGACAAAGTTTCCACACACCCACCCACCCCACTCATGTTGGTGTCACTGCAGCCAGTGCTGTGTAGATGGCAGTGGGAAAATATCCCTTCCTTCAAGTTTTTATCTAGGTCATTGGTTCTTTGTTTTTTTAAGAAAACTGTAGGGAGAGGCTGGTTCAGAAAATAGACACAAATGTGTATACCAAATCTGTATTTTGAGCAAAAGTCTTTACACACTTCCGTTCATATGAACCCTGTCTGGGATTTTGGGATAGGTCCATAAATATAATTCTGATCCTGTGTCACTTCTACTCCTTGCCTATCTGGTTCTCTACATAATTTAAAACATTGGTGTTTGTTTGGTGAACACCCTCAAGCCAACCTCAAGTCACTTCTGACTGTGATAAGATACGAAAATAAATAAATAAATAAAATAAAGAAAGAGATGGAAGAACTAATAGGGCGAAAGGTAGAGCTGAATAAAAGGGATTGCTTTATTCAGAAAGTTAGTGGCAAGGGCAGCACCAACAAATGGGTAGATAGATATCATAAAACATGGTAAAAGCAACTCAAGCAACCATAGCTTTGGGCTGGATAGAGCAGGAAAAATAGGATGTTAAAAATGGTTTGACTATTTAGCAGACTGTATGATCCAGGGTTATATTTTTGAGAGGAGGATGAAATACACAACAGGTTGTTGTGAGAAGAGCTGGGGCTCGAAATGGGGAACTCTGATAGCTAGTGTAAAATGAAAAAGAAAATATAAAGAACTGAATCACACTCTCTTCATGATTGATCAAGTCATATAATACTCAAGTGACTGATAAGAGTGGATTTGGGATTAGTAAGGTTAAGTAAATAAGACACATTATATTGAGTGAAAATATAAGTGGAATTTAATTATTGATATTTATATTACTCGTGTTCACAGTTAATAAAATTTTATTCCACAAAAGTCATCCAGTGGGTTTCCATGTCCAAGTGGGGATTTGAACCCAAATTTTTAAAGCCTTGACAAATTCAGACTAGGACTATTTCTTCTATGTGACTTTGATCCTCAAAATAAACCTCAAAGTTTCTTTGCTGTCTCTTGACCTGTGGCTGACCAAACGTATGGCTAAGACACAAATCCTTTTTGTTGGTATTTCCAGAGCTTTGGATGCCCATTCTTGGTTGACATCTCATTTTACTTCTCCTTTTGCATTAGGTGGATATTGAAAACTTAGCAAATAAAACATATTTGTAACTTTTGTGGATGCTATTTTAATGTGGTTTGCTAATTTTCACTCCCAGGACATGTCAGATGCAATTGCTTTAAAATGTTTGCTTCCTTATATGTTTACTGTATTTCGTTTGAGCTGCTTTGAGGATACATTATAGAAAATGAGAGTATAAACTGAAGTAACAACAGCAGCTGAAATTGCTATCTTATACTAATCCACTCAAAATTTGGTAGTTAAGGAATTGTCATTGATTTCAGTCCAGATCATCATGAGAGCTCTGATTCAGGCAGGAAAGCTTCTCTGCCCTTCATGTTGGACACAGAAACCCACATATATTATAGGGTGTCTTTTACATAAATATCTCAACAGCCTTTGAAAAATCTTACTAAATAAATTCTGTGATAGGGTCACCATAATTCAGAGTAGACTTGAAGGCACCTAACAGTTCCCATATGCCTAGGGAGCTGTTAGATTGTGATGCTAGGCTTTAAATTTACTGAACTTGTAGAAGAAGATGCTTCCAACGCTTTTGGAAATGCTTCTAAAATTTGTCTTTATATTGATTTGCCATTCATCTTTGATGTATAGAGTGCACTTTCAGAAAAATACCCTTATTTGTTTGAAAGGATTGTGGCTGAACATAAGAGAAAAGGCATAGTCTAGAATCCTTCAAACCGAAGATGTTAGAGCTCTACAGAAATCTTGAATGGAGATAAAGCCACATGAAAACATTAGGTCATCAGAACAGGTGTGAATCACTACATGGCAGGAGAAGGTATTCTGGTTTCAAGATAGCTTTAATGATGGAATGAAGTATTCTGCAGCAAAGTCATTGTGCCATATTTTAACAAGCTTTCTATTTAATAATTTACAGGCGCCAAAGATTTTCAGTGGGAATTTGTGCATGGCTTATTGGAAAATGCCATTTATGGAGGTCGTATAGATAATTACTTTGATATGAGAGTCCTTCGATCCTACCTAGAACAATTTTTTAATTCCAGAGTCATTTCTGACTCAAATTTCCGGGGTAAGAAGATGAGCAGATTTCCATATTCCATCTCACTGCCCAGCTCCTGCAATATATTGGTGAGTATGTTTTCTTACTTATCAGATGCTCCAACAAAAATTAATTTTCTTTGGCTTTATTACAGTGGTGAATGATTATACTTCTTATTGCTTAATTGTGCATCAACTTTGGTATTACTGGCATGTTTTATTATGGTCAGTAGCTCAGTGAAAGCTTGGTGAGTGCTGCTTTCATGAAGATTGATCAGGCCTGTGACAGGATGAGTAACCGGATGAATAATATCATAAATCAGAATAGACTTGGAAAGCACACAACAAAATGGCAACAGTATATATATATTAAATCCTTTTACCTTATTTGAATGCAAGATAAAGTACACATTCTTTGTTATTTTGCTGTTAACCAGTAAAGTAAAAGTATGTTTTACAACAGTTATGTAGCTATCTTGGAATCTAGCCTGGAAGAAAGTTGAGATAGAAAAATAAATGAAAATTAATTAAAGTAGCATAATCTTAACTATGTTTATTCTGGATTTACAGTGATTTCAATGAGTCTTGTTTCCTATTACATTTCAAATTGTTTTCCATGCTAAAGATGCATGTTTGATTCACTTCAATGTAACTGTATAGTAATAAATAGTAACCATGTCTTAGAACAAGGTTCACAAATATTTAATTATTCAGAAATCACTTTGCTATTACTATAAATTAAGAGATCAGATCTAAATTGAAATGTGTTTCCAAAGTATAGTATTCACATGCATACCCACTTTTCATTGAACCATAATAACTCAGGCTTTTGCATTATAGTCAATGTTATATTTCTTTCTTTTTAGGATTACCGTCATGTTATTGAAAGTCTTCCAGAAGATGATAAACCTGATTTCTTTGGCCTACCTGCTAACATTGCACGTTCCTCTCAACGGATGATCAGTTCTCAAGTAAGATTTACTGCTTTCTCTTTTTTTCCTGATGTGTTATTTGATCTGTTTACTAATACTCATTTTATTACTTGGAAAAAGTCTTCCAGGATTCATTGTACTGGTGAGATTTTTTTTTTTTTGAACTTCATGGTTCCAGATAATTTCATTTTAGTTAGAGCTGAAAAAGACAAAAACCAAAACAATTCATTAGAAGACACAGCAGGCAGGGATCATATGAGTGAAACATGATCCTGTCTATGAATATTAGAATTGTTGAGATGAGCCTGTGTTGTGGTGACTATACTGATTGTATTAATGCAAGAAAGATTCTGCTTGTCTTTTATTTGGCTGTCTTTTATAAGATACTGAGAGGCCATAGCAACAAGTTGATTTATAAACCTAATTATGTTGCCTCCTTTTCCATTACTGTCATATAGAGTTCATGTTAATTGGTGTATGAAAGAACTGTGTTGATAACAATGGCAATCGTAATGTGGACTTCTCAATTTTTAGTCTTCCATATGTGTTTATGTTAGGATGATATTTGCTTATTTAGTTCTTGCCAATTAATTTTAGTAATTTTGTTTCCTCTCTGAGATACTACCAGAGATTCTGCACAGTTTTTGAGCATCGTTCATACATCTTGCTTAAGAAAAGTGTGTTTGTGTAAAAAGATACATGGATTTCCAGTGCAAAAAACCTGATAAGGGCCAGAAAGTTTTCTACATAAAAAAAACAATGTTTTTGTATGAATCCGCGTATGTTACACAAATTAGATTTGCCTTAAGCATAATTTTTATCCAAGTATAGAAAAAATAATTAATTTCAGTAATTCTTCTTCCACTCTGTAAGACCACAAAGATTCCTGAACAGTTTTTGCGTACTGTTCGTATTTCTTGTTTGGGGGAAATTTGTTTTGTGCGAAAAGACACAAGGACTTTCTGTGAAGAAAACATTATTTGGGACAAAATAAATTTTCTACACAAAAAGCAAACATAATACATAAAGCATAATTACACCTAGAGGAAAGCACATGAAAATTGGAGAAAGAAACATCAACTATTTGAGGCAAATGGTACCATTCTAACAAACCAGATTGGACATACTAGTGTCCTGAACTGAGATTTTGATTCTGTGGGAATGATGCTTGTTTTCTCTAACAGGGTTTGCAGATATCAGGTTGTTCCTTGCAGTGCCAGGCTCCTGTAAGAATTCATATAACAAAGCAGCAGGAGACAACAGAATCCCAGCTGAATTGTTTAAAATCTTGAATGATGTTGTTGTCAAGGTGATGCATGCCATATGCCAGCAAATATGGGAAGCACGAGAATGGCCATCAGACTTGAAAATATCAACTTATATCCCCATACCAAAAAAAGGAAATGCTAAAGACTGCTCAAACTTTCGTACAGTGGCACTTTTTTCTCATGCCAGTAAGGTAATGCTCAAGATCCTGCAAGGAAGATTCCAACAATACATGGAGAGAGAGTTGCCAGATGTACAAGCTGGCTTTAGAAAAGGCGAAGGAACAAGAGATCAAATTGCCAATATCCGCTGGATAATGGAAAAAGGCAGGGAGTTTTAGAAAAACATCTATTTCTGTTTTATTGAGTATTCTAAAGCCTTTGACTGTGTGGATCATAATCAGTTTTGGCAAATTCTTGGTAGTATGGGGATACCAAATGATCTTGTCTGTCTCCTGAGGAATCTGTATAATGACCAAGTAGCAACAGTAAGAACTGACCATGGAACAACAGACTGGTTCAAGATTGGGAAAGGCATATGGCAGGGTTGTATACTCTCACCCAACCTATTCAACTTGTATGCAGAACACATCGATGTGCAGGGCTTGATGAATGCAAGGCTGGGGTTAAAAATGCTGGAATAAACATTAAGAACCTTATATATATATAAATGATACCACTTTGATGGCCGAAAGCGAGGAGGAGCTGAGGAGCCTTCTAATCAAGGTGAAAGAAGAAAGTGCAAAAGCTGGATTGCAGTTAAACATGAAAAAAACAAGATTCTGGCAACCAAACTGATTGATAACTGGCAAATAGAGGGAGAAAAGGTGAAGGCAGTGATAGATCTTTTATTTCTAGATGAAAAGATTACTGCAGACGCAGACTGCAGCCAGGAAATCAGAAGATGTTTACTTCTTGGGAGGGATCTCTGCCATGGGTTGATCCATGAGGTCACGAAGAGTCAGAAGCAACTGAATGAATAAACAACAACAACTAATCCCTTATGTGTCTATTCTGACAGGCATGTAAATAATTGATAGTGCTCAGTCTAGTATGAGTGCATACTCCAGTCTAGCTGAAATCGAGGGCTGGTGCACCGAGGTCACAGAAAGTTTCTAAAATTGTGTATATTTTGCTTATTACCCTACTAAAACACTCATCTCTGGATACAGGGATACTATGCCATCAAGTAGAAATAATTAAGTAACTGGTTATTATAACAGAAAATAGTAAATACTTCAACTGACGAAGAAAGTCAAGGATGATCATTAAGAAGAAATTAACACTGATTAGTTGTATAACTTTAAATAAAAGAATAAAGACATTGAAATAGTTCAAGATTTCCCATACCTTATCTCAGTCATGAACTAGAATAGAGATTGCAGTAAAGAAATCAGGAGAAGACAAGGGCCTGCAAGAGCACCTATGAGGGAACTAGACAATTAAGTTCATGTAGGAGGTCAGTTTATTAAAGGTACAATAGTTAGTAGACCTGATGTCTTGGGCTGCCACTTGGGCTGCCACTGATTTGCACCCAGAAGGCTAAATGCCTGTATTTCATTCTATTTGTGTCTTCCTATGGATGTGCAACACATAGCTTGTTATACTAGGAAAGTAACAAATTCTGCATGTGTGTTCAGTCTCCTCTCTGAAATTGGCTTCACTCTGCATGTCTAACATTTCCACATTTACAGGTATTATAAAATAGGACAATATCTCAATAAGTGACCAACATGCAGTTCTGATAATTGGTGGAAGATTTTGCTATTCATAGCATTAGTGAAGGCCTGTATAGAATCTTATTAAATTGCAAGATATCAGTTATTATGTAATATGTATTAAATATTTAATGATGCGATTTTTCAAAAAATACATTTAATAAACTTGTTTTTGACACTAACCTTGGGAATCCAAGTAGAAAAGCCAACTGCAAGATAGTGGCATAAATGCTGTTGTTACTTCTGACTAAACAAGATTAATTGAATCAGTGGGATTTACCTGTGTGTTGGCAGACCATTCAACAATTGATTAAATGAGCTTACTCTAGTTGGAACTAACTAACAGGATTCTAGCTGTAGTTTCTCAGCCCAGACATTAATTGTGCTGAACTGATTTTTCCCAAAACAAAGCTTTGTCATGCATTAGTTACTTAAACCCTGTCTGTGATAGATAATTAATACACAGTAATTGTGAACTAAGTGAATTGGAGGCATAATATTCAAAGTCTTACTTCAGTGATTGGACTGCAGTGTATAAAGTCAATTACTTAATGTATTCCTATTAGGAAGACAGTCCTCTTTTAGTAGTGAGCATTTTTTTTTCATCAGACAGATGGGAGGCTGGGATCTGTTAGCTTTTTATCTGTGCTTGAACATTGAATATCCCAAATGCTACACACTGGAGATGGATATGTGCACCAGTTCCTTATGAATTCCATTAAACATGATTTTTATTTTACGTTTAACTCCTTATAAAACATTTGTTTCTTTTAGAAGGATATGAAACAATAAAAATAAGCACTGAAGATTGACTACATAATTTATAAACTAGGCAATGATATAGTAGGTCCACATATTATACAGGGTCTTTGAATATGGTTTCATTTAAACACAAAGAACTGAATACCATATAATTGCTCTGGGGGACCTAGCAGACCTTACAGAAACATTAGATCTCCAGTATGATTCTATGGCTGACTTTTCCTAGAGGTTCTGCTAGACGTTCCACTGGAAGTTGAACCCCAGGAAAAAAAATCCATCTGACCAGTTAGGGGCAGTCCCTCAACTTCCATCCATCTAGGGCTACACAATGGGAATTGGAGCTGCTTTGAATCTCTTAGTGGAGAGAAAAAGCGGGGTATAAATAAACATAATAATGCTTCTATATATGAAAATCCCATTATCTTCCTTCATTCTTGAGTGAATGGTTATAAATCACTTTCCAAAGGCTTGCTGAAGAGAAGGCAAGAAAGAAAGAACCATTCCAGCTTTCCCAGGCTTGTGAGATCAACCACAGAGGCCTTCTTCCATGTTCCCACTAGCTGTACCTATAAATGTGATGTGACACATAGAAGTACCTACCCTAGAGATCTTAAAGCTTAAGTACAGGAAGACATGGTCCTTCAAAAAGACACATGCATATGAATGTAGAATTCTATTAGAGCAAAAATGCTTTCTAAAATGGACATATGCCCCAACTGCAAGGTAGATGCATATTTTTCCCTAGGATATTGACTGCAATATTTTCCAGTTATTAATGTATATACTTAGGGGTGATTTGAATGCAATATTCCTGCTTCTTGGCAGGGGGTTGGACTGGATGGCCCATGAGGTCTCTTCCAACTCTTTGATTCTATGATTCTATGATTCTATGAAATGGAATGTTTAGTGGCCTTGAATATGAGCCATGCCTGTTAGGTAGGTGATGAAGTAGGATGCACACTGAATCATTCTCTTTGTTGGAATTGAAACAGTGGAAATAAATGTGTTGTTTCGGGCTATTTGTATACTCCTGTTTGTATAATGTGCTGTTATTTGTATGATTTACAGTATTTTTGAGTTGGGCTAGGTGAGGGTGATTCTTTGTAATAACTTACGGTTACATACAAATAAATACTGGCTGATTGTATTGCTAATAAAATATTGCACATGTCCTCTTCAAAGGAACAAGTGGCACATAACTTTGAAAGTTGATTATATTCATATTCACAATATGGGAGAATGAATGGAAGGTTTTTTTTTTACTGTGTCTGAGAGGTTTGCTCTTAGTTTGCTT